CAGCTACTTTCCCAGCACTGTCCTAGATAGTCTGTTAGGTGTGAAATATGTTTTTAAGAATGCAGGGTGAGGAATTTGGATTGTGGGTTATTTTTCAAAATAACTATTTTTATGAAAAATACTTCTGTAGTGATACTGCCTCGGAAACCCAAGGTGGGGCCACTATGAGTTGGGTCCGACTTGACGGCATATAACAACAATAACAACAACCTATTATTAAAAAGTCAAAAAATATAAAGTACAAAGAAAGAAAGAACAAATTACCCCAACTGTCACTACTCATTGATTAATTGCTATTAATTTCTGGTGAACATCATCCTAAATACCTCTTTTTTTATGTGTGTGTGTGTGTATGTGTGTGTGCACGTGTATACATGTATGTGTACATGCATATACATAATTTTACATGGACAGAATCTGTTTTTCTCTCATTTATTATGTAATACATGTTTTTCAGTGTCAATGTCTATAGATTTAGATCATGTTTGTACCATCATTTACTTAAGCAAACTCTACTGATAGACATTAAGTTTGTTTTGGGTTTTGAGTAATATTTATTGATATAGTATTAATGAAAGGAAAACTGTGTGATTTTGAATATTTGATGTTTTGAACAAAGAAAGGCCTAGAATACTTCATCTAATCAGTTCCTGCATACCTGATGTGCTGTGATGAGTAAGGAAGACATCTTTTGGATTGGTGGTAGGTGCAACAATGAAGAGTAGAGACGTGGACACGTGTGTCAAGTTCATTTACCCTCTATCTCTTCTATTGTTATGTATTCTACAGTCAGTTCTGACTCCTAGCAACCCTAGAGGACAGAGTAGAACTGCCTCATAGGATTTCCTCAGCTATAATCTTTATGGGAGAGATCACCAGGTTTTTTTCTCCATTGGAGCCACTGGTGGGTTCAAACCAGATTTTTTATAATCTTATATAGTTTCAGTTAGCAGCCAAATTCTTAATCATTCACCACCAGGACTCCCATCTCTTGGCTAGTTCTTTTTGAATAACAATAAAGGAGTTCTGGTGGTGTAGTGCCTAAGGCATTGAGTGCTAACCAGAAGGCTGGTGGTTCAAACCCACCAGCCACTCCTCAGAAGGAAGGTTGGGCAATCTACTTCCGTAGAGATACGGCCTCGGAAACCCTAGGAGGGGTCACTATGAGTTGGAGCTGACTCAACGGCAGTGAGTTAAAGGTGCATCCAAGTGAATTTAAACTGTAAAACCACAGGAACTGGATATTCAGTTTGTTCTCATTTTCCCTTTCAGGAAGAAAGTATGGATTTTCTCGATAGAGAAGCAACTTGTGAACAGTGAGTATTATACTGTACTTTTTTTCCTCTTTTTTTAAAAAAAAACCACTTTTTATTGTGATTTGGGTGACGATTGACAGAACAAATCAGTTTTCCACTCAACAATTCATACACATTTTGTTTCATGCCATTGATTGTAATCCCCACAATGTAGCTAGCATTCCTCATCCCACTTCCTCCCTGTGTTTCCCATTTCCATTTCTCCTTCTTTCCTATGCCTTCCTGCCTTCTGAGCTTTGTCCTTGGGCAAATGCTACCCTTTTAATCTTGTATAGTTGGTTTTTCTAAGGAGCATGTACCTCCCTGGTGTTACTGTTCACCTTATAGGCCTGTGTATTGTCTGGCTGAAAGTTGAGCCATAGATGTGAGTTCAGTTCCAGGCTTGAAAGATGTCTAAGGACCATAGTGTCAGGGGTTCCACTAGTCTCTATCAGACTTTTTTTTTATGATTTTGAGTTTTGTTCCACATTTTTTCCCCACTCTCTCTAGGACCTGCTATTGTGATCCCTTTTAGACTGGTCAATAGTATATTCAAATATAGCTTTTCTTTTAAGTAGGCAAACTGTATTAGTGATTTCTTATTTTAATAGGGAGATACAAGCTTCCATTCAGATCAATCAATTTTGGGAAGAAAATTTAAACCTGGTATAATGTTAACACTTAAGTTTTGTAGAAAATTTGAAGTTATTGCTGACTTGCAGCATTGGTGTTAGCTAATTTGACTGTAATTTGTAGAAATCTGAGTTCTCATTTGAAACTAAGATTGTATTTGCTGCATAATTTTATTGCTTCTTAAGACACAGTTTGTGATTTACTCATAAAAGTTACTATCCTAGTTTGTAAGTGGAGTTCACAGTAAACAATTGTATGATACAAAACCATCACTGTGCTAGACCAGCTTTCCCTCTGTCCTAGTGGGCCTGAAAAGAGTTCAGTTGTGTTGGTTAAAATGCTTAGATAACAAAGTAATAAATGATTTTACTCCCCTCTACATAATTTATTAACTGTATATTAGAGTTTTAAACCTCTGATGATAGTTTTATTAGTAAAATACTACATTTTTATGCCTGTAACACATATACCCCCATCAACATGTAATATACAATCTTCAATTTCAGTATTTTTAGAATTTGGTTACATCCCTTGCTAACATTCTTTAATGTTGGTGATAGCTATATATTATGGTTAATTTGTTGTAGTCATCAAATAATGGTTAATATTCTTTTCCATAGCATCTCAGATAATGACAGAACAAGAAGAATTAGGCTGAAATTTGGGTAGGAGAGATTCTGCTTTGATGTAACTTTCCAGATTTGGGAGTTATTCAATAAGAAATTGGATCATCAGCAGAAGTAGTGACACCTTCTTTTCCTTTGAGCCCCAAATGCCTTAGATGGGCATGCAGCCCTGATTTAGGTCCTGTGGAATGAGTAGATAAGCTCTGGAGCCTGTCCCTTGTCAGGTTTTGGTGGTGATACACTTTATAGCTGCTGTTGAGTCCCCTGAACTGAGTCGATTCTCATTCCGTTAGTGTTGGCAGGAGTGAGTGGAGGAGAGAGCTGCGTGTGTTAGGAGGAGGGAGGGAACATGCAATAGACTAGTTTAACTTTGCTTGTGTCTGGGAAAAGAAAAGAGTACTGATTTTGTCTGCATAAAATATATAAACATCTTTTTCATACCTGTATAGTTATTCCTAGGAACTCTGTGGCACAGTGGTTAAAGCTTTGGGCTGCTAAACAAAGGGTTGAAGGTTCGAACCCACCAGCCGTTCCACATGAGAAAGATAAGGCAATGTGCTTCTATAAAGATATATCTCATTGGAAGCCATATGGGACAATTCTACTCTGTCCTATAGGGTCGCCATGAGTCAGAATCAACTTGATGGAAGTGGATTTGGTTTGGTTTTTGGTAGTTCTTCCTGGCATATCATTTATGTGTTGCCTCGGTATAGTATTGCAGTTTTTGACAACAAATCACAGGTCCAATCAAAGAGAAAAGTTGCAGTTTAGGCTTAGGTATTGTTCAATATCGAGGACTTGTATTTTAGATCTTTCTGAGATGCTAGGAAGTCCCTCAACCTCCATGTAGCTCTGTTCTCCAAAAGGCAAAGGGTGTCTTTTCTTCTTGAAGTGGACCTTGGGCTTATGCTTGCTTTAGGATGGTGAGAGCTCCTCACTGTGTGACAGCCAGGGCCTCAGTAGTAAGGACCCCTCCCCCAGGCAGCAGCTGTCTCCCTAAGTACTTGATTAGTAAGCAGTTGGTGCTATCATTATACACTGCTTTCTCTTACACAGAGTGATGATGATTTAAAGACACTGTCCTCTCCAAGTCACATTGATTTAATTCCGGTACCCCCAGTATCTTCTTCCTCATGGAGGGTTGGGAAGGTGAGAAAGGACTGCCTAAAAGTCTGTTTCTTGAAATATTTATGAAATATTAATGTTTCACCGCCCAACTCTTCTAGGGGGTGTATTTTGCATCCCTGGGTGGTACAAATGGTTCATTATTTGACTGCTAGCCAGCAGGTTGGCAGTTCAGACCCACCCAGAGGCACCTCCAAAGACAGGCCTAGTGATCGGTTTCTGAAAGGTCATAAACTTGAAAACCCTATGGAGCAGTTCTACTTTGCACATATGGGGTCCCCATGATTCAGAATGAACTCAGCTCTAAGTCACAACTATTTTGCTATCGTATATATGATTATAAGTAATACTTGTCCCTTCTTTTTCATTTCTCAAAGTATTATTTACATAAAATAAAATCTACCTATTTTGAATATATGGTTTGATTAATTTTGGTAATTGTGTATAATCATGTAACCACAACCATAATCATGATCTAGAACAGTTCCCACACCCTAAACTATTTCCTCCTACCACCTCCCCACCCTCCCAGGGTACCACGGATCTGCTTTCCGAGCAAGTGGCAGCTGTCAAACCTCTGTTCCCATTTGGTTTCAGCAGTCATTTTGTCCATCTTTGCAAACTTCTGTGAATTGCAGCAGTTTGTTTCCAAACCCTATTCCCCATCCTACGTGACGATGTACAATTAAGTTTAAATTATCTAGAAATACTGAATTGCTTATAAAAAGTAGTAATTTATTTTCCTAGCTACCATTTCTCAGCCCCACGTCACTAAACGCTGCCCTTCTTCCTTTTTTAAATTACTACTTATAAAAAGTAGTAATTTATTTTCCTAGCTACATTAAAAGGGAGCTCTGGTAGCATAGTGGCTAAGACACTTGCCTGCTAACCAGAAGGCTGGCGGTTCAAACCCACCAGCCACTCCTCGGAAGGAAGGTTGGGCAATCCTACTTCCGTAGTGATACTGCCTCGGAAACCCAAGGAGGGGTCGCTATGAGTCGGGGCCGACTCGACGGCACACAACAACAACAACAAGCTACATTAAAACATCATTGTTTGGGTTTATTGTTTTGTATATTGAAAAAAGGAAAGTGAATGAGAACATGTGAGGAATTCAGAAATTCATGAGTCTTGTTTGAGCACAGTCTCTTCCTCTGAGTAGGCTCATTAGTAGGAATCAGAACTGTCTCTAGAACTGTAAGTAACCGGACTCTCTCATCCACCCATGAGTCTCACCTTGATTCAAGGCAGGTCACATCAGGACAGTAGGTCTTTATAGCTTTTGGGCCACAGCTTGTGAAATTCCTAAATCCTTATGAATTAGAAGATAGTTTGCCCCAGAGCCATTCCTGTTTTTATCCATATTTAGAGAAAAGCAATACAAACATTTGACATGCACTATACATTGGGTCTTCTTTTAGTGTGTGTCCTTAGACGTGTTATAATGAAATAATCGAAGCTGATCTTGTTCGAATTTTTTCTTGTAATGATCGTGATGATTTTATTCTAGAACAAGTCAGAGCACCATCAACAGTGCTAGACCAAGTGTCCCTGGATCATGTAAAAGAAAAGGTACTTTACCTACCAGCAGATACTACTACAACTCAAAATTATTTTAATAAAATATAACATAAAATCGTGTTATCCAAAAATAAGGGTTTTTTTAAAGGATTGATTGGTTTATGGTAGATGTGGTAAGTCACTAGAGGCATTTCATTTTATTGAAATGAAAAGAATATGTGTACAAATATTTTGAAAACTATAAAGTACTATATAAATGTCAACTGAGAAACTGAATTCTAGTGTAGTCCATTATGATTTTCATTATATAAGTGGAATTCACCACTCTAGCTGCCTTCAGTACTTTCATGAAACAAGATGGAGAGTGAAGGAAGGAAGAAATAAATAGAGTGAGTCAGTATTTTGCTGAATCTCAACCTGTCCCTCCCGCACATGCACAGATTGCTATTATGTGAACATGTTGACACAAATTACATCTGCAATTAACAATGTACGCTAAGGTGTGTGTTCTTTTTTATGGGGGTTATTTTTGGTTACACATAGGGAAAGTGCCCCACCTTCTTAGTAACAGAGGGCCGTGGAGTATAATAGGCATTTGGGGAGGGCCATTAGCTCCTACAGTCCTGGAGCCCATTTCTCAGCCCTACCTCACTAAACACTGCCCTTCTTCCATTTTTGTTAATATCACTATCACACTGTATGTTTAATAGAACTTTAATTAGAAGAAGGGAATGGGTAAATAGGAGAGGAGATTAAAGTTTAAAAATGTATATTTGTGAGAAAGTCATTAAATTGGGAAAGAAGAAAAAGAAGAGCAAAACTATAGGGAAAGAAATTAAAATATACTTCAGTGTTCTATATGTTGTAGATTAAATAATAGCAGTCATAACATACCTGATAGCACTAGCAACATACCTCATCCAGCATGCACTTACTGTAGTATTCTAAGACTATTTAGGACTAGAAAAATTCTGGAAAACACTCTTTTCCAAACCAAGCCCGTTGCATCAATGACTAAGCATAAGGGTTTTTTGCCTGTGCTATGAATTTTAGGCTAATGTTGAAAAACACATTCAAATAATACATCAACATTTCCAGTTCGAGAGCTGTTACGAAGTTGGAATTGCTTGAGTGTTTAACATAACATATGCTTACATTAAGGGAGCCCCGGTGGCACAGTGGTAAGGCACTAATTTGCGGACAAAAAGGTCAGCAGTTCTCACCCACTAGCCACTCTGAGGAAGACAGATGTGGCAGTCTGCTTCCCTATAGATGACAGCCTTGGAGACCCTGCAGGGCAGTTCTAGTCTGTTCTTTGGGTTGCTATGGGTCAGAATTCGACTCGACAGAAATGGGTTTGTTTTTGTTTGAGGGATGCTTAAATTGAAAGCAGTGTTTTACCAAAGTAAAATAGTTCTCCTTTTAAAACATTTACACAGAACATGTTTTATTATATCGGAAGTACCTGGAATTTTCGTAGAATTTATGATTTAAAAAATTGTGTTTAGATTTCAACTTTGACATAATAGACTTGGTTCCTGCCCATGATATGTCAGTAGATGTGGCGTGTCATGGACAGCCACACAAGGCTTTTCTTCCTGGTTTTTAGCTGCATGGAAGGATGACTGCCTGATTTCCTTGAAGTGTCCCTAAGGGGACTCTCAAGTGAATTCTGGATGTACCGCGTAGTCTATATTTTAAGTCACACCCTCTGAAACATACCCTCTACAGATTTGGTCACAATTCATCTTGGCCAGATGTAGTAACAGATCAACCTAATTTTATTTTCATATTTTAGAATATGAATATTCCTTTCTAAAACAAGAAACCGGAACCCACTTGTGACCCATTAGTACAAATAAAATATGGGAAAAGATAGTATAAAAATCAAAAGCGATCACAAAGGGGGAAATAAAATTGGAATTCTCCCCTACCACGTCTGATCCATTGCATGATCCATCATATGTGGTGTCACCATGAGTTAGGCGCAAGTGTGTGTGTGTAAGAGAGTGTGAGATGAAGAGTCTCCCAAGCATATGAAGGCATTATGGTGATTAACAGCAGTGACTCCCATTAGGAACAAGCAAGAGCAAGTAAGGCTTAAAGTGAGAATTCTGAGAAAGCAGCAGAAATTGACCAATTATAAATATTGTTTTATGAGCAGTACTACTCTTAGCAAAGAAAATGTTAATTTTGTTCAAAGATGATTTGTTTGGATTAGTTTTGTTTTTAATTGAAACCAGAAAGGAGAGCTGAGTAGCTTTTCTTTAATGCTAGAGGGGTAGTCTGGCCTAACAGTCTTCTCTCTAAAGCCTAAGCAGCCATGATTATAAATGTCTGTGGAATCGCTGTCTATGGGCATAATTTTTTAATGGGTAGATGACCTTAGTGTTCTTTCATCTACATATATTCCACCCTAGAAGATATAGGCTTGAATGTCAATTTTTTTTTTTCACATCTAAGCATGGTTATATGAATGTGAAACATTGTACAGGTTTTAACATTTACTTCAAGGATGAAGTTCATAGCAACACAATTCTTGGAAATGAGATGTTTCTACTTATTTTCTGAAAATATATTCCATTCACTATGTGCTATAAAATAATTTATCTATTTAGTTCATTGTGTGCTATATCTAATAGTAAAATAAAGGTAGCAACAATCTAACGGTTTAAAATAAGGAATGAGATTAAATTATGGTATAGGCTTATTACCTATAATATCATGTTATAGAATAATAATTAATAATATGAGCAAATACTAATCTTTAAAAATAGAAAATAGATTACATATTGGTATTGTATACAGTATGAACCCAATTTTATTTTTTTTAAAAAAATTGTGTAATACACAAATATGCAGGAATTACTAAAAAGTGGTTGTTGCTGGATAATGGTAATTTAAATCTTTTCTTTGTATTTTTCTTTTAGAAATTAATTCCAATGAACAAGTATTATTTTTGCAATAAAAAAGCATAATAAAGATATTTTTAAATCTTACTACCTTGAACTGCTGTCTTGTCATAGGTGAAATGGCACCTGAAGATAATCCACCAAAGAGGTTTTTCCAGGGCTCAACCAACATGTTTTCTTCTGATCCTACCCAGTTGCCAGATACAACTGTGTGGTAAGTATTTAACATGAGTCCTTTACACAGTGATTGGCCATTTTTTGCTTGGTTTTTAAGTCTACTTTGACCATTGTATATTTTTCAGAACTGGTACATTATTGAATTTTTTTAGAAGTTATAAAGTTAATCCCAAATGGCCACAATTAACTTTTGTTCTCTCTCATCTGTGTGAGTGACACTGCTATAATGGTGGATACATTTTTAGAAGTGTGTTTTTGACGTTAGGTTAAAGAGGTCTTGGAGAAATACATAAAAATACATGCTTGTAAAGAAAGACTTCTTTAGCCCATCCTTTCTACTTTGGATTTTTTTCTACTTCTGTTAGGCTGAGAGAATTGAAGAGTATGCCTAAAAAAACAGGTCATAATATATCTCAATGGTAAAGACAGTGAGTGGGTTTTTAGTGGTTATTAATAGATTAACATATATGGTTTTGTTGTACTGCTCTTGTGAAACTGCTTTTGTAACTAGTGCCAGTTCTTTGCTTCATGTGTTTTGCATTCATTTGTAGACAAAGCAAAGTATGTACAGAGATCTCTCAGATTCTGTTATCATTGACTGACGGTTTCTTCTCCTAGTGTGTCCTCGGACACTCCTGATGGATACGACAGCAGTGCTGAATCTTCTGATTAGCCAACTGAAATCAGCACTCTTAACTGATTCTCCTGTGTCACCTCCTGATTATCTAATAGATGAATTTGCAAGCAAGTGATCCACCCAACCTGAGCCTTTCCCGTAGCGGGGAAGCAAGCAAGACATCCTGGTTGGAACAGTAATAGAACTGTGTGACACAACTTGGTCGGTTTCATATTTGTTTTTTTCCTTCTCGATATCCTAAAATTCTGTTTCTCTACACAGCCTGCATGTCTAATTCTTCTGTATGCCCATAAATTCAGTATACTAATCCTTTCAAAGGTGTTTTCCAAATATGAACTATGTTGAAGATACAGTCATAATCTTTAAGCTGTCAAAAGTCTAAGGACATGCTGCACATTGATTTGTTTGTAAATAATTGAGAGTATTTATGGGAATAGTAAGTTTGATGACATATAATTTGTACAATTGATCAACAAGGTAAAATGATTTTTTGTAATTATGTACTTAATAGCCATACCAAACTAAAAAACCAAACTCACTGCCATTGAGTCAGTTCCAACTCACAGCAACCCCTATAGGGTTTCCAAGGCTGTAAATCTTTACGGAAACAGACTGCCTCAGTTCTTCCATGGATCGGTTGGTGCATTCGAATCACCAACCTTTTGGTTAGCAGCCACATGCCTTAACCACTACACCACCAGTGTTTAATGCTATTTTCACTAATTGCTACTTTCCATGTGGTAAGGAAGAGTCACCTATTAAAAGGAGCTAGTTATGTCACACTGATCCAAGGGTTTCCTATTTTGCACATGGATCCTTGGATATATGTTGGGAAGGCATAGGTTGGGAAAGAACAAGATGAATAAAAGCTAATTGAATAGCTAGAAAATTATATGTAATTGGAGCTTCACTCAATTTGCACTTGATTATCCTTGATCGATTTTGTGTTCTAATTAAATAGACAATGTAGATAAATTGTGATCTTATACATTTTTATGAATTACCTTTTATTTATCATTGTGACTACTGATTTGATTAAATACATGCTTAGTGCATTAGGTCTTTTCTGCAATAGTCATGTGCTTTCAAATATTCCCTAAGGGCTATAAATGTTTAAACACCAAAACCAGACCAAACTCACTGCCATTAAGTTGATTCCAACTCATAGCAACCCCCATTGGTTTTCCAAGGCTGTAAATCTTTACAGAAACAGACTGTCTCACCTTTCTTCCACGGAGTGCCTTATGGGTTTGAACCACCAGCCTTTTGGTTAGCAGCCAAATGCCTTAACCACTACACCACCAGAGCCTCTTGTTTAAATACCAGTTTCCTATTAATAAGTCTTAAGGATTTTAATAGACAAAATAATGTGTTAAAAATTTTAAGTCTAAAGTGATTGAAGTAATCATGAGTAATATTAACATTTTGAAAAACAGAAATGTAATCTCATGAAATGAAGTTGTGAATTGGTTTAAATTGCCTGTGCTAATGGGGTAGGAAGAGTTACCTAAAATATTTATAACTTTTTTCCCTTGTCATTGGAGATAATCAGAATGATGGAAATCTGATATAGATATGTTCCCACATGGAAAAAAGAATTTTTTGTGGCTCCAAGAATTTTTTGACCATGGCCCTGATGGAATGAATCAGAATGGGTATATATATGTAGGGGAGGATTTGCTTCATCTATGAGTATATAAAACTGAGTATTTATGAGGTAACTAGGATCATGATGGTCTCCTAAAACTGGGACAAGATTCTACAAATTGACTAAGGACAAGTGAATTATAAATATTACCTTTGTCACTCAGCTCGCCTTGCTTGGGAGACTTTCAGTGGACCAGTTGTGAACATCTAAGGGGGCTCTCATGGAATTGAGTGTGGTTGTAGTGATGTTCCTTGCTGAAATTGTAG